TAGAGTAGACAGAATAATCGGGTCTGGTATCCAGACTAGAAGCATGGTGCGTACCCTCGTAAACGCTTGCTGTATAGACCTTTTTCCTGTGATGTCACAAATCGTACTGGACCGCGATGTGTTGTGATGGTAATGAGTGAATAGTGTCGTGCTTATATTTCCCACGGTTCGCAGTAAAGCTGGAAATTATTGTCTTGTAAAGTCGAATAACACATAGTGTGTGGGTCAATGAGCAGGTGTGTTATGTAATCTGGAATGCCAGGATGGGAGTTTTAAAGGGGGTCAATTGTGCAGATGATTAGTTCTAGCGAGCACACCCATATCCCAATACGACGCTTTTAGCGTCGATCTGCGCACTTCCGCGTTTGAAAACGAGGCTGTATGTGTCAGCTTCAATTCTTAATACGATCAGACGATTGAAAGTAAGGAGTCAAGACACAAAAATACATAAAGGTATGTTAAATTCAGACTTTTTAGGCTGCAAATTTTTGTAGAAGAGTCTTTCAGGATGACTTGACACATAATATCAAAAGAAAAAATAACGGCAATTTACCGTGAACTAACATACCTGCGATGGTCGTTTATCTTGTGCAGTGGGCGTGGTTTAAACTGAAGTGGCGCCACATTTACGAACCGGATACTGCACGTACTGTGTCGACTCCGCGGGCGCGCGCGACGATGTTCAACACAGCTGAGCCTCGGTTTCGAAGCGGATATGCGCAGACGGCGCTAATGTGAAATCCATCTATACCGGTAGAATTATTAGGTGAAGTCCAACACCAGCACAGAGGGGACCGCTGACAGTTTTTGGACACAGGTTTCCAGAGCATTTTTGAAATTTTTTCTCTGGTTTTTCCTGGACGTCGTGGTCTCCAATGAAGTGATTCTAAAATATGAATAAAAGATGTGATCAGTAGAGTACCGGATACATGGTTTTGCTTGCAAACGGTACTATGTATTGTTTAAAATTAAGGACAACATAAGAGAGTTGCTGTACAATTTGTATTTGCAAACTCTGGTACGCAGACAGGATATCGCCAAATCAAAATGAGAGATTTGGTTTAGTGTTTTATTGTGTGTGTAAAGAGAAGACGGCAATCGTTCTATTCAAGATAAACTAGTCAAGCATGCAGCGTTCGTACGTGTGCTTGTATATGTTGAAGCTGCCCCATGTACATGTATGTTTCACCCCTATTCAACGTGTGGAAATTAACAAGTATGACCGTGGACGGCGGTTACTTGACCGGACCCTCGTGAACCATACGGAAATGCTCTGTTGAGCCTTCTCGTTTTGACGACTTCGTTGCACAAAGTTAACAAATGATCACATTGAAACTCTTTGTATGTGCTCGAGAAGGCTTAAACCGAATAAAACACTACAGAATCTTGAAAAGAAATGCTACAAAAATATGAAATTTAGCATCAAAGTGGTTGCTAAGATAAATCATTACCATTTTCAATCGATCACTTGGTCTTTTTTCCACTAAATTTCTCAATTTTTGAAGTTTTCCCAGAACAGTGAGACACTGCATACGACAGGCCAGAATCTCAACTACACAATATAATCAGTTTAATGTAGCTGGATTTTTTGTTCGACTTTCATGAGTTATATAACTTTATAATATTCTTCTGCGCAGCACGATCTATACGTTTAAATGCCAAAACTGATCCAGCCGGATACCGTGCACGTTACACTGCGGCCTGTCACGCGTACCGCGGCGTGCACGTACAATGTACATGTACATATTTGCACATGGAAGTTTTCGACGGAGCCGGTGTACATGTTCATGTGGTTCCGTGCGTGTGTGGTAGGCCTATATCTACATATAAAACTGGGGATATAATCTGTGAATTCAACATTTTCCTGACAATTTTATAATGACAGATATACCTCGGTTTCAATAATAAACTTCATGTTAACAAACTGTACTTTTGTGTTCGTCTTTCGTTCCCAAGTCACTGAATTCTTACGCTTGCAAGGCCGTAAGATTATGCGGGATGAACGGAACCGGTACTGAGCTGGGTCGATATGCAAACGGGACCAGTCGGGAAGAGAAAAAATCTAGCGCAAATCTAAAACGTTCACACTTTTCTCCACCACAACCCACTTTTGAAAACTTCAGGAAAACCGCGAATTGTTTGTTTCGAGCCTTCAAAAATTGCAACAAAACGTAAACCTACCGCTTACGAGAAAAGCTTTTCACAAAAATTACTAGTTTTGACCACTCTGGTGCTATTTCTCAATTTTATTTTCACATAACACGATCGGAAAAGGCCTTATCTTGCCTTGAAAATATTTTCGGCAGAAATTTTTATTTCCAAAAAGTGAATATAAGACGTAAATTTCAGGAAATGAGGCAGCTGCTAGCTTGGCACGAATTCCCATGGCCCTCATTACGCATGCAAATGACCCTAAAAACGGGACATGCGCAGTTACTAATTTTCCTCTGAAACATACGTGGCCCGTAGGAATATATGCAATCACCGTGGCCGGCCAAGGCGGTCCACACGTGGGTGGTATTGTTTACATTTAGCGCAATCCAGTGACGTGGGCGATAAAAGTCTATAGAAGCGGCTACGGAAACTGCTTGTGCAGTTGACGACGTGGTCTAGGCTAACTCAGGCCCCACACCAAGCGCGGAAAGGGCGTCTTTTGTTTTAAAAAGTAGGACCTGCAGGTTGAAACGCTTTCCACTGAAGTGAAACTCAGATTTGGGGGGTGTATGGGCGTAACATTTGATCAGCGGAGGGCAAAATCGAAGTCGCAGATCGACATTCAAAGTGTACGTATTTCACAGTCTTGTCTCGATGGACGATTACAAGAAACAGGATGGGATGGCCTGCTGTGTTCATCCGAAACCAGTAGTGCCCATGTGCACCAGCGGGCGGGAATGGCAGACCAGCTACATCTCGGTTGGGACAAGTCGGAGAGCAGTGTTCGTAGGTATGGTTTTGATTGTCGCCACGCTCCTTGGAGTTCCGTTGAAATTTTCTCCAGCGCCAACTACCATGGTGCACAACGTGTTATCAAAAGCAGCTTCCAGCATCCGCGAGCACGGCACAGCAGAGTTGCCACACGCTGCGCGCAACCGGTCATCAAGGCAGGAGACCGACGAATAATTGCCCCGAATCGGAACATTTCCCCTGTGCCTCCGAACAAGACTACTCGTCCCGTTTCTAAGACCGTTCTGGCAGTCGCTCGTCAAACCAGTCCAACAGTTCCTCTGAACCAGAATATCCTACCAGTCCCTCAGAAGGAGGCATCGGTTTCTCAAAATAACGACGCTTCATCTCTGGTCCCTCTGAACGAGAATATTTTATGTGTTTTCAGCGGACGCTGGCCATTTCTGCGGGTCAATTTTGCGTATATTTATCGCGATCTGAGGAAGAACGAAGGTGTTCTGGACAAAGTTTATTACATTATGGTTCAGTACGACCAGGACACACTATCCAAGCTGACCAGTCTTACTAGAGAAGCCAACAGCCTCTTGGGAGACAAAGTGTTCGAGTTGCGGTTTCTGAACATGGAAATCTCGAAAAATGAGCGTTACATTTCTTTTTATCACCAAATTTTCGAGGAGCTGCTGAAGCACCCCTTTAGGAAGTACATCAAGATGGACGACGACATCGTGTACGTCCACCCAAACGCCTTCAGGCAGCTGATAGCTCTGCAGAACACCTCCGAGTGCTTCATTCACTTTGCCAATATCGGCGGTGCTAACTGGCGGTGCAGTTACATTCACCAAGAGATGGGTATCTACAACGACGTGGCCATCAACCCTAAAAAACTCACATTCCAATTTCACCCGAATGCCGACTGCGGATGGAAGTCACCTGATTGCGCCGAGGTCGCGATGAAAGGATTCCTCCACCACTACAAGGAGAAATCGCTGGATGAGTTCCTCTTCGATGGACGGTATTTGTTGCGGGAGAGAGAGCGCTTCAGCATCAATGCGTTCCTGATTGACCTCAGCCTGATCCAGGTGAAAGCCATGCTGGAAAGTGGGCCCATTAACATTGACGATGAACTATGGTGGTCAAAGATATACGCCAGGAAAGTTAAAAACCCTAGCTGTGTGGTTGGAAAAGCCTTTGTCGTGCATTTCTCCTATTTTACAACCGTTCAAGAAATGGTGGAAAAAAGGGGCTATCTGAGAAAGTTCGAAATCATAGCTCACAAAGATCTAGCAGCAGAACTCCCGGGCAAATTGCAAACTATTCTTGCGTTGAATTCAACAGTTGATGTGTGAGGATTTAACAGGTAAACAGACTAAAGCAGACTAACTTCCTTGCACGGCACAGACTTTATAACGTTCAACAAATTTCCATGTATTATTTGAATATAGGTTCATTTTCCGTGCAGCGAACAGACCAAGACGTGGCCAAAAGTCATGTTTGACGTCAAACCCTTTGTGTAGGTCTGTTGGCCCATTCAACATTGTATGATCAGCTGGCCTACAGACATTGGCCAAACCTATCGTTGTAAATGTGCAGTGCCGTGTTAATGAAAACCCCCGACAAGGAGGACGGTGTGTGATCCTGTTCCGAGAATATAGCTCTTGAGTCGTGTTCCCGTTGTTCGAGCGCGATAAAAGGGCCGTTTTCCAATATTCAACGTTGTCTCCGTTTCGGGCTTCGTTGGAAATCAAATATCCGATTGTGGGCCTGAAGCGTTTAACTTGAATTAAAGTACTGTACAGTAATGTTTGGCTCTTTTGTATCTTACTTGATGTTTTGTGGCACTATCAGACTTATTATTGCGCTTACAACCTTAAAGTCAGGAAGTAAAAAAAAAACCCAGTTGTAGCCTGAGACGAAGCCCAAGTCGAGTATTGGAAAACGGCCCAAGAAACCTGCGTCAAGAACAGGTCGCCCGAACTCAACCTTAAAGCACCAAGCTGGACCAAGAGAGGGCGCAATTTTCCTAGCAACGAAGGCACATTTGGCAGGAACTTCACGGTGCTAGGAAAATCACGCCCTCTCTTGGTCCAGCTCGGGTCCACAGAGGTTTTTCCCGTTACGGCACACGGCAGGCAAAGGCATATCGGTAAAGCGTACCATGTCCGTGTAGGTGCGTGCATTTTGCAGTCTGGCCGGTATTCCTGACGGCAATTTCATATACCCCAGAATGTTAACAGACTTTGAAGGCGCGCTCGGTTCGTTTCCGCGCACATCTGTGTAAATTGAACGTTAACCCTAAAAAATCCTGCGACTGAAAATCCTCTATAATCTTTCTTTTGGCCGCGAAATGCAAGATAGCAAAATAGTGAATGTCATGCGACCCATTTTTCGAATGGAGGCTGACTATTTGCCCAAAGAGAGGCCACAATTTTCCTTGCAACGGCCAAGCTCCTTTGGTGGCTCACAAACGACTATGAAATACTAACAAAATGAACTCTCCACACAACATGGCTATTTCAAACGACGAAGGGGTGCTTCTGCCCACGACGGATTAGAGTACAGGGTACTTCTTGAAACTGTGGACCGTTGCGAGCCGGAAGACATGAACTTCGGCGAAAGCCCAAACTTAAGCCTTGAAGCAGCAGGACACTGTGTCCCGCATCTGGGTTTTCGAAATGGTGCTGCAGTCAGACTCTAGAGCGCCTATGCGAAAAGGTACATTTCTTCGACCAAGCATTCTGAATTAGCCAATCAGCAGTGTATGCAGTGACGTAACTAGCCTGAAACTTCGAGGGGCACTTGAATGCGCACACAGTTTTTTTCACGAATGCAACTAAGTCGCAGCCGAATTGCAAATAGTTCATGATTTCAAACGAGGAGGGTGGACGACCTGTGTGGAAGGCAAGGAAATCCGCTAGGGCGCGTGCCCCCCCCCACGTGTTTACGCCGCTGTGTATCAGCGGTGGAAACAGAGTGGTAACATCGGCTAGTAATTCGACAGATCCATGACATAACCCTGTTCGTCGATGTCGACCAGCTGCATTGCCAGGAACTTCAGAATAGGCGCCGGGAGAACACGAAGTACTCAAAGGCACGGAGCTGTATTCAAAAGTTAAAACTCATGAAATAAATTATTCGCGACTCCCTACACTGACAGGGTTAGACAAATAGAACCATTCAGTGCAGCCTATGGGGGTACACGTAGCCCTTTGGTAAAACAACAGATATACCTGCACCAGGGCTGCCTGTTTCGATCAAGTACTTACAGTTAACAACAAAATTGTTCATACCCCTTATAAATTTTAGTTTTTTTGGTGTTTTTATAGAAATGAAAGGTCGGTGCATAATATTGGAACATAGTTGAATATTTTTAACTGTCAGGTATAAATGACACAAAAGGCTTTGGTTCTCAACAAAGAGAATGCTAAAACTTAAATATTGATAAGGAGTATGAATGATATTGTTGTTAAATGTAGGTCCCAATTGCGCCAAACATGTATTATCACTGCCACTGAGAAAAAAACTCATCAAATCGTTACCAAAAATGAACGTATACGGACCGTGGACTGTTTTCCGGGCAAGGCAGATTAGGGTTTAAGGGAAGTTTTAAATGTTGATTTTTTTGTTTGTTTCTGGCGTGAGAAATGCTACACGAGTATCGCGTGAAATGGTTGAGAGTTGGCAGCCCTTGTGTTGCATGCGTCGTTGAGTAAAAGTACGTGGGCTTGGCCATTGTAATCAGCACCAGTAATGGCGGTGGTAAACAGAAGAGACATTTGGTTGGAGTCCTGACAGTGACTGCATTAAGATTCAACGACTGAATTGCTTCGCGCACAAGATACATGATTCTGAGTCATGTCAGCTTACAACCATCAATAAGCAGTTTGGCAAGTTAAATTTGAATAAAATTTGGTACACTGAGGTATCTGATTGCACATAAACATAACGATTTGAATTCCCCAAATTAAAGACACTGTTGCAATGCCTCGTGATTTGGGGCAAGCTTTTGCATAGTGACTACCATCTCTGGAATGGACTGGTTCCCTTGTGTCTTTCTTATCCATTGAGAACAGTGTATTGTTGCAAGGCGTCTCTTATGTAACTAAGCAAAAGCTTGCCCCGAATCATGAGGTATAGCAACAATGTCTTTAGTATGGAGATTTCAAATTGTTATGTTCACGTAAATTGAAAGAACTCAGCGTACCAGATTTTATTCAAATTGAACTCGCAAAAGGCTTATCATCCGCATCTTTCTCAGGCCGCCTATATCCACCTTGATCTTGACAGGAATCCCAGGTACACCATCCGGTAAGCGGACATGCACAAACCTAGGAACGTCAGTGCGAAAATAGATGCTGCAACGTCCATAAAATATCAACCGTTCAGGGAAAATGCCTTTTGAACAATGTACCATAGAGATCAGCAGTTTTGTGCGGAAGCGCAGATAATTATTATTATTAAAGTCATCACTGGACAAAGGCTGTTAACTCTTACAGATGAGATTGATTTCACATGGTTTACCAGCAAACCTTCCCTCTTAGGGTTGCCAGAAACTGCGCCTATTAACATCGATGAGCTATGGTGGTCAACGATATACGCCAGGAAGCCTTTGTCTTGCACTTCTCCAATCTCAAAACCGTTCAAGAAATGATAGAAATAGGCTATCTGAAGAAGTTCGAAGTCATAGCTCACAAAGATGTAAAGCAGCAGAACTCCAGGGCAAATTGCAAACTATTTTTGGTCTGAATTCAATAGGTGATGTGTAAAGATTTATCAGGTAAACACACCCCGCCCCCAACTCATATCTAGTCGTGTCAGATTTAGCACATGCCTTGTCATCCACAGAAAAACAGAAACGGAGCACAACAAAGTTAGACATACTCAATGACAAAAAGGAAACTGTACAACAATTTTTACCCTGTTTATGTGTTTGGTTTGGCTCAAGAAATACGTAGGTGGAGCCGAAGTTTAATTGGAACACCAAGGTTCATCATTAAGGATTGTATGTAGTAAAATTGAACAGCATAGCCTCTTTAATGTTCTTTAAATTTTCAGGTTTGAAGTCAAAATCCATTGTATGTGGAGTTTATCGGGAAATTCCATACTGTTTGGTCAGCTGACAGACAAACCAGGCTATTGTAAACATGTTGGTGCTTTTAAAAATCACAGCTGGTTTTGAAAAGTGGCACGCATCCTGCTGATATGCAAATAGTAATGATTTTGAGTCAAGTGTCGAGAATAAAACATCAGGTAGATTAAATCACGTGTTCCATATTCCGTATATGCCACAAAAGAATTTATCTTCCGTCGCATGACCAAACCCACACGACAATCGTGAATCTTCTGTTGTCCTTGTTTTGTACATGCTTTTAATGAGTACAATGTTTATGTTCAAGTTGTAAGCTTGGGACATCAGGGACAAGAAGGTCCACGGTTCGATTGAGCTAGGTCAACGATAGGATAACTGCGTAAAAACATTTTTAGAAGCATAATTAACACACCCCCACAAGAGACCTGGCGGTTTGCCACCGTACCTCCATGCATTATTCCACACACGAATACAGTCTGTTGTTGAAACCAGCTGAACGGATCGAGTATGCGTCAGCGCACATGGATATAGCTGCCCCCTGTATTAATTTTATGTGCACGTAATAAACGGCCATTTTGTTTTTGAAGTCGGAAGTTAGCCCTGCATTAGTGCAGCTCATAGCCGTGTACCAGGCAGAGCTGTTATATAGAGAGAATAGCGGCAGCCTCAGAATTCGGAAACAAAATTGCTGTTCATTACATGTACAGTAGACCGTGTGGCTACTATTTAGGATTTGTATCTAGTGCACTGTCGCATACTCTGCCAGTTTGTTTCTGTTATGTGTACGTTGCTCTCACAGTATTTCTTAATGGCGCCCTCTCTTAACAGGTAACCTGAGAACACCCCTTACACTCACCCAGAGACAATCATAGATTTCCCACGGTGAATTTGTGCATCATTTTCCCACATTTTGAGGGCACAAATCTTCCCATCGCTCCTTGCTAGCGCCTAGTGAAGCATGGTTGCTTGCACGTTGGTTCCATTTTTACCCTTTCTTAAGAGGTATTTCAAGTAGTTGAGAGACCTTTAATTATAACATTCGGTTTTCATGTCAACTTTACCTTGATTACACACGTTTACCCACAAGTTCACGTTATGCAAGGATGCAACAATATACAGACGAACCTTGGAACCAGAATGGCAGTTGTTCATTCTGTTTGCAGTAAAGCATGCTGCTGTTGTGTGCAAACTGTGTCGAAACGGCTCTGAATTAAAGTGGTTAAGAGCGCCCTCTATATTTTGGTCATGTGTACCCAATCTTTTATTAATTATTCTAATAGGTAATGTTCATTCGGCCTGCGCCACGATTACACATCGTGTCGTAGAAAAATACGAAGTGTAGTCCATAATTATATAGCGCCGCACTGACGTCCGCTGACAACTAAATTAGAATTATCCCGCAAGAGCTTTTAATTCTAGCGTAGGTAGAACATCACGTCAGGGGACCGTCACCCTGTCGTGCCCATTTTCGTCACTGATGGTCGTTACTTGCTGGTAACTCGATGACGGCCAGCGCTGTCGTGCGTGCAGGTAACTGCGAAATAGAAGTGGTCATGGCAATTACGTTTTTGCAACCTACGTAACTCTGGACTTATTCTTTGGTCTTTTACGTGACTTGACTATGGACTGTAGGGCGCATGACTAAATTTTACCCTACCACAACGGTCATTTTTTAAAATTCAAATAAACCCACATTATGTATTTAGATTAAATTAATCAGTTTTACGTACAAATATGCATCATAGAGCAATAACATATATTATACAAATATTGACTGCTTCGAGTGGTAATAGTAAAACTAGCCTGCCTTGGTGATCCGTGGACCATTCCATTTTCCCGAGGCGAAGCAGTCAATATTTGCTTTATAACACCTCATCCACAGATTCTGCCCAATTTCAGCTAAACACCAATATTGAAACACCAAGGAGCAAGTCGTCGGTGACCGGTGTTCCATTTCGTGTGCAAAGTTAGAATGTGCGTACCGAGAACATACACTATACATGACGACATACCTGCATTTAAAAGGGTACCTATTTGCATCTTCGTTCTCTTAACCTATTAAATTTGTAGCTAGTACGTAGCCTGGTTTAACGGGTTTGAGAGTGACAGATAAAGGTTTACGCTGTTGGCCAAAATACACGTCTGGGTATACTGTTCACGGTTTCGTTGCGACCGATATATTTCTTTGGTCGCTACGGGTATAGTTCTTTTCAGAGCGAGGCTGCATGTGTACAGGCTTTCTGGAAAGGTGATACAAAAATAATAGCAAGCGTCATATGACCCACGTTCGGTCAATCAAGACACAGAATCAGAATGTGTGAGTGAAAAAGACTATGATTATCTACGATGCATGCTTGTACGCGTATGCACTCCAAAGTGTCAGCGCTACAGAGCTGAGTTCAAACAATTTATATAGAGGTAGTGTAGAAAGTGCTGGCAACTTCTAATTTTTCTAAATTATTCATCAATTATTTACATTCGTTGTGGTCATTCGCTGCGCTTATTTGGTTATTACAGGCACAGTACTTTAATTGCTATGGGTATAGCTCTTCTGGCTGTGGAAAGCAGGATAGCGAAAATAGCGAATGTCATGAGACTCTAGCTATTAGCTGTTAAACAAATCTGTGGCTGAGGTGTTGTAAGTAAACTTTAGTTTCCACAGCGTATATATGACTGAGTTCTGTAATACGTGTCCCATAATATCAAAGTTACCTTTTCCTTGTCTGCTTTTAGTGCTTGCCAAAAATTATTCCTATGGTGTTGTGCTTTTGGAATTTTTAGTTAATACAGTTCCATTGATATCAATAACAATCAACAAAAAATAAATAACTAGCAAAATAAATGTATTTACCCATTTATGAATAATGGTATAACCAAAATTCCCCCAGCTACGTAGAAGGTAACAGTGGGATGTCCGATTTTCACAGTATACGAGTAGATTCCATTCATCACAACAGGGGACAGGGCTCTCCCCACTGAAGAAAGGACGGCAACCGCGCCAAACAGAGATCCTGTTATGTGAAAATCAAATCAGGCTGATGTGCAACAAAATAGGTAAACCCTTTCTGATTTCAGATGGTGATGACTCGTATTTCACAATGGTTGGGTCTCCAAAAGGACGTAGGCCTTGCAATATCATTCTATATAATTATCATCAATATCATGTAAGAACAAGTTCGAGCGAAGACAATGAGCCAGTTTGGTTTTTCAAAACAGCAAGGTCGTTCGAGAGCAAAGCACGCACGTTAGTCCGCAAAGGGCTGCGCTGATTGGGCAGACCTCGTACGTGCGTCCGAATGACCGCGAACGCACTTCCTTTTGGGCATGCGCTGTCAGAATAATTCCACTCAATGATGTACAGTTGGGTCACAGTGTGTTAAATTATTTTGATATCGATTGCAACCAATTGAACGGCAGAGATTTCTGTTACTAGCATTACTTACAATTTGTTGGTATCTACCAGTTGTTTACCACTGGACACAGTATTACCAATGACAACTGTTCATTATAATTTGGCAACTGTTTGCTACTTGGCACCATTGTCGCTTGGCACCACTGACTTACCATCGGTTACCAATTGTAACAATGGGATTCCAATGTTACAATTTTGCTAACTATTTGTTAACTAGTAAACACTAATGGTTTACGATTCAAAACTGCTATGTCTAGATGGTTACCAGTACCACTAGCTACCACTGTTTGACACTGATTTGTCTGTAAGGGGTCAGCCGTATCGGGAGTGACGTAACCGTGGGATGAAACTTCGAGAGGGGCTTAAGCCTGATGAGTGTGCACGCATTTTTGCCAAGGAGAGCACTGAAAAGTAAGTCAATAAGTCATTTGCGAGTTAAATTTGAATAAAATCTGGTACACTGAGTTATTTGATAGCACAGAAACGTAACAATTTTAATTCCCGGACTAAAGACACTGTTGCCATATCTCGTGATTCGGGGCAAGCTTTTGCATAGCGACCACCATCTCTGGAATGGACTGGTTCTTTTGTGCCCTTCTTATCCGTTGAGGACAGCGTATTGGTGCAAGGCATCTCTTATGTAACTAAGCAAAAGCTTGCCCGAAATCACGAGGTATAGCAACAGTGTTTTTTAGTATGGAAAATTCAAATAGTTATGTTCATGTGAATTTAAAGAACTCAGTGTACCAGATTGTATTGAAATTTAATTCACCAAAGACTTATTGCAGCTGGTAGATAGTTTATGATTTCATACTGGGGCACCCCTGGTGAGAGGCAAAGACACCCGCAGTGTATCAGTGATCTAAGCCATGCAGTAATACCAAAGATTACACCGTTTTACGTGTATTCACGGTGAAGTTTGCCATCTTGCACCTTCGGCGCTATACGATCTTTGGTAATACGAGCTAAAGTAATGTGAAAGATCTATGAGTCATAACCTTGTTCGTCGACCTTGACCAGCTGCGTTGCCAAGAACTTGAGAATAGGCGTCGGGAGAACACGGAGAAGGCCAACGGATGGAGCTATATCAAAAAGTGAAAACACATGAAATGAATTACTCGCAATTCCCTTCACTAAGAAGTTTCGTTGTTGCCTTTTTAAAAAACTTCTAGGTAAGTCTTACGCTTCAGTCTTGCACATGAGATCTACGTGTATTCAGTCATTTTAATAAGTACCATTGATAGTCGTAATAGGAATAAGAGACATTTGGCTGAAGTCCAGCCAGTGATGAAGATTCAACGCTTGGACTTGCACACGAGATGAGATTGAGCCCTATGTCAGCTCTGTGAGCTTACAACCATCAATTTCTGGGCAAAGTGCACTGTACAAGAAAGGCTGAGGTCATGGTGGATACAAACGATGTAAGGAAGACCTGTGGTGGATTGGACATAACACATGCGAAGGCTGTCCAATGGGCACAGCTGAGAAATATTTTCCGGCGACACCCTTAGGTGAGGCTGTCAAAGGATGAAAGAAGAAAAGTCGTGATCTACTTACCAACGTAAGCAATAAGGGCAGTGGTTTTTGCCAGTGACGTAGTGATCATCAATGCTATCCCTGACAGGAACCCCAGGTACACCATCCAGTACTCCGACATACACAGACCTAGCAGCTTCAGTGCCAAAATAGACGCTGCAAAGTCCATTAAAACTCAACTGTTAAGGAAAAATGCCTTAATATAATAAACTATAGCAATCTACAGATTGGCGCCGAAGCACATAATCATAATTAAAGTCATCACTTGGACGAAGCCAGCTAGATTTTAGTATCAATTTTGGAACAAGGTTTGGTATAATGTCTTAGTTTGGCTTCTGTTTTGATCGGTTTTCAACTTGGACTCGGATATGATTTGGGTTTGTGGATTGGGGTCACTGACCCGCTTGGACATACTTGTTCTTTAAATACCCGGCTACGAATAGCGTGATAGGAGGAATAGGGTTCGGTTACACTTTCACTGGCTCTTGGTGTATCAAAATTGAAGTAATCCACATTCTCTAAATGAAACGGCTTGTATGTCTACTTCATGGCAGTGAGAAAAACTTACCCACGGCGGGTGCAATGTTGACTATTACGTTGTAAACTCCAACGAAGGTTTCACTCCAACAAAATGGCGGCCCCAGGCCATATATGGTGATAACACTGTAGACTGCCTCATAAACAAGCTCATAGAGAATCATGTTTGCCAACAAAAGAATAATCCTTGGCCGTCTACCGTTGGTATTGTTCTTGAACAACCAGTAAATCTGAGCAAAAAGATCTCGAAAAACACCGCGAGAAAACGGGCGCTTATCCACAGATTCGACCACAACTCGTGGGATGGTGACATACAGAAAATTGACAATGGCGGTGACAAATATAGTCAAATAGGCAATCGAAAAATTGGAAGCTGTCAGTTGCAAGATCGTGGTAACTACGATTTGACTGGCCCCGAACCCAAGGTAAATCAGTACGTCCACTAGGAAGATCCGAAAGCTTCTCTCGTTGCCTTGGTAAACATCTGTGACGTAAGCATACGCGGCACTCTCTGGGACGACTGAATCGCCACAGATGCCAAGAATGATTTCGCCGACAACGAGGCAGAACAGCGGCAGGTTGAAGTAAGCCACACAAAGGAAGAGAGCGGCTGCCAAGAGATGGCCGCTGGCCGAGACAGTCAGGATGGGCTTGCGACCGATAAAGTCGCTGGCCGCCCCAAAGAGGAGGGCACCAAAGAGCGGCAGGGCCACTGACACGCCCTTCATGTAAGCCACCCAGAGGGCGGTCTTAGACTCGATCTGCTCCTGCGTTGGGTCCTTGGTGGCGTTGGCGGCACCGCACGTGCCGTTGACATCGCCGGTCGGCAGTGTGTAGTTGTAGCTCACAGCCAGCCGGTGCTCGATATAGAGGGTCCGCAAGGCCACAAAGCCGCCCTGAATAGCGAGCATCAAGAACACTACCGGCTCGACGGTCACCAGCCGATATCGTCGAATACGAACGGCTGGTTTTTCCAGTGTGCTTTCTTGGACGGACGCCATTGAGACCAACGCCTCTATTAGACTTGTGCAATTTTTTGCGTACGCCTATTGTTTGTTCCAGAGGGGAAAATGATGACCGAGGTCGACTTGTATGATCTTCAGTAGCACGTACAAAACCCGATCCCAAATAGTTCTAGAATCAAAAGGACTTGAGCCTTAATCTGACCCTGCAGACGAAAGACAGAAATATAGTATATGGCAAATACATTTTAAACGAGCTACGTGCTATGGATAGTATCCTGGTCTTTTTTCCAGGGGACAGAATGGTTTTTCCACCCAAAATGACTTTCCTATTTTTTTTCATCAGCAAAAGAATCCTCATCCCAGTTACGGATAGAGGTAGTGTTTCTAAAATTCTGAAGCTTTCAATGCTGCGGATCGATCATACACTCTGATGTGTCAGTATCATAATGCGAAGCTACAAAAACCCAACAATGGGACAGAACCTGACACAACAGCCAGAACTACGTACAGCACTAGCACTTGTTCGCGCAGTCCACCGATGGTTATCCTGATGGATTCTTTCTCTGAGACTGCAAATATTCAAACTTCAAAATTTGGGACTTCAACCCTGTGATAGCTAGTGCACGTTTTGTGCTGAGATGGCCGTGATATTTGGACTAGTATATGTACATTGAATGAGTCTGTCCGTTATCCCAACGTGAAAAAGCGCACGCCCAAAATAAAACGCATATGAGGTCATTCCGGACGCACGTATAATTTCTGTCCAACGCGGCCTAACGCGGACTCCTTCACGCGCGTGCTTTGTTCCCGCCGGGCTCGTTATCCTCATGAAATTATTCTTACCACTACACTCATTAAAATTCATGATTTTTACACTACAATATTCAGTGACCCGCAGAAAAGGGGAGGGGGATCTTAGAGTATTATGTCCCACGCCTTTTGGCCTGGAGGATGGGTCATTTGTTCACCAACCCCCATTTCGGTGCAGCAAAATATAAATCGCATGTTTTTGTATACATTTTAAGGGCCTGTTTGTTTCACACGAAGTTGGATTGCGATGATCCCAAAGCTGCTTCGCGCTATCCATTATAGGCCTTGGTGGTTTCTGGTGCCAGTGAACCAACATCGGATCAATGATCCGCAGATCTGCATGAAACAATTGTCCTACCTATCCGACAACCAAAATTTACGAGATTGCCATGAAAATAGAGAAGATCTGCAAACATTTTTCCATGGCCGTGCAATTCAGCCGGGAAATTCCCCCGTTGATTTCCCACCACTGGTGACTCGCAACGTCAGGGAAGATTTACTAACTTTTTGACAACTTCAAGCCCGACGGGCAAACATTTTTGACAAAGAAATTTAAACTAATTTTCATGTCCAAATTCAGGCCTGGTGGAACTCCATACAGACTCGGGTGTGGGTGACCATGGTGATATTTCGCTTGGTTGTTTGGGGAATACAGTCAAACACAGATAAAAAGAGCACTGTTCACTGTTAGAACATCGTTATGTTTATAACATGGGACAACTTTAAGTCCCTAGTTTTTGTTTGTCATTACATCATACGGTAGGCGGTGTTATAACAAGAAATTTTATAAAGACCTAATAATGGGCCTAACAGTGTTCCACTTTACGGGCATAGGACTCTGCCAAACTTTGAAGTTCAGTCCCGGCTGGTATTGGCCTATGACCTCTAGATCACTGGAAGTGGTACAGTGCACACCGATGACAGCTTGGTGTTGGCATGGCCAAATGGTGGACCCAAAGAAAGCTATTCTTGTACTTACCGTTATGTCAGTTATAACTGCAGGTCAGGACTGTGAAATTATGAAGGATTGCTCAATGGATAACGTAGTCATCTACTGAGCAGAATGGAACGACTCTGTCTTATACTAGCTCCACTGATTAAACTAAAACCGTGTGACGGAAGCGAAATCACAGGACTCGAACGATCAGTCTGTCGAGTCATTAAAATACAATGAAATGGATTGAGTCATAAAGCGTCAGTGTACATATGTTATGCATGTATCGATGTACCGGTGCAAGGCCATGACTGATGACATACTATGCTTATGTTGGCAAAGAGCATCGTATCCGCAAAGTGTACCACAAAGGAAGGGCACCGTGCACAGAGAGAGGAGTGTCGGGTGTGCACTGAGCTGTTTAGAGGGCACGCAATGGAGCCTGAAAGTTGACCCCTGGTGGCGCGCTTATCATAGTCATACTTGGGTAGCCTCCTTGTCACAAAGTGGCTTTGGAGGCCTTGTGCTTACCAACATATTGCCATTTGTGTAAGTACTTGCACACTGAGGCCTATATGTAGGATTTTACAAGTGCGCTGAGGATCTAGGAGTAAGTAAAAACACGGAGCATGAAGCTATAAATTAACCTCATGTGGTACAGCCAACCCAGTGTCTCGAGGTCCTGAGGTATGAACATACACCTCATCTACACACCCAAAGAACAACGGGGGTTTAATTGATGAAAATGAGATCCCACCCACCAATATCGCGTCCGTCTAGGCAGGCTGTTAATAGGCCTAAGCATTGCGGGAATCACTGTCATCAGCTAGGGAGACGGGAGAACTTAATGATAATGTAGATAATGCGAGATTTTCTCATCTTTCAGTGACGAACCCGTACGGAAGACTATCACAAGATCCCACGGTCTCATGGACTGCGAAGTGCGATGGCCCTACTAGTTGACTGCCATTGCCACATACGGCGTAAGCGCTTGCGATCCGATTTCCGCTAAATATCACACTCTGCCCTTTCGATAATAGCGCCCTCTTGGATGGTTATCAGAGCAGTCGCGTGTTGCAAAGGTGTTTTCAAAATCTCGGTATCATTTTTACGGCCACAGACATTAGTTTCACAAAATTGTTCCAACTAGCTGAATTGGGACTCTTCAGATCCGTGTAGCTCTGTTCTCTGCGACAGAAATATCAAAATGAATAGAACATGCACAAATGTTGGATTTTGATCCCGTTTAGTCCCAGCAGAAAGCATTTACATCCCATCATAGTGCCAGGCATGAAGCCGCAGTGAACACAGTCGAGAAGTAGAAAAAGGCCTGAGGGAATGTGCATGATCAAGATGGCAGCCACCACAGAGGTCATGGGAATCGAAGATGCGATCAAAAGTGAAAATCTTGGCCTTTCAGAGGCTGAGAGGATTCGTTTAGAGACTGTGTTAAAAAGAGCTAAGGTAGGTCTAAAACTTGGATGATTGTAATTTCATGACTTCCATGTATTTTATTCCAGTAATGCCCTGCTTCTGCATAGGGCTGCAGTCATGGTAGACAGGACCCAACGAATACTCCCCATTATGCATTACTGGGCCCTGTCCTGATAGGGATTTCTTTCGAAAACTTTATCCGGGACATCCAGGGGCATAACTAAACATCCGCTTAATTTTATGAGCTGAAATTGCCCCAGTGTGTTCACTTCTTACGCTCTAAAAAATCCATTAGGTTGCTAATTGTAGAAAACTTTTTTTTTCCTCGGTTGGAGGAAAAAATGTTGCCTTTTTGCCGTTTTCCCACTCCGTAAGAATTTTCGTCTGACTTGTACATTACACAGACTCCTTTGTATGGTTAAGTAATTACTTACACCCTAGGGGGGTGCCTGAAATCCAAACTGCAGGATTGTCACATACTTTGAATCCATATCTTCCGAAATGAGAATGACTCGACAATTTTACCTACACCGGCATATTCCTCAGAGTTTGGACTTTTATGTGAGCTCCTTAACCCTGACCCTCCAAGGGTTGCTGGCCCTAACCTTCCCCATTCAGACAAAGTTAAACACCCATTTGGGACTTTGTGCACAAAGGCTGTTGGACTTTGTTTTTCTGAGGTATGCCAAACCCAATGCAAAAGCCAGCCGTTATGGGCCTACCAGACCTATCCCCACAGAATTAAACACTTCACTACTGTTTAATTCTGTGTGGTTGGGGAAGTTTAGGGTGAAAGCTTTCCCAAACTGTATATTTTTTATGTATGGTACCTTGAAAACTTGGCCGGTCATATTTCTATGCTGACCATGGGCAGCGCCATTTTAAAAAATGAAAGCAGCGCTTCTTGCGTTGGATTTCAAGGCACCCGACAGGCGCTCTGGTATACGTTTACCATACAAAACTGGTTCCCTGTCACACCTTGCATGACAGACAAACAAGGAACCCATGAAATTAAATTTGAATAACATGAATATGCTTACTGTATCATGCTCCACACACGTGCTGTAGGCGTACTGTACACTATAAAGTGCGCACGTAACTTATTACTAAGCAATAGGCCTACTGTGACAACATGAATTATGCATCTACGGATCCCGTTGGGTGCCTTGACTTCTGGCCAAAGAAGCACTGCTGAATACTGAATAAGACAAATTCATGTCAAATTTTTATTATCTCAAGACGCTTTTACCAAACATATTTTTTTTTTCAAATTTTCTATTCAGGAAGTTGAAGAAGAAGATTTCTTCAGGTGAGAAACTGCATTATTATTTCCACTTTCATTTCCATTGTGATATATTGTAAGCAGAAATGCAGTGTGTTTTATCTCAGTGATATTCTACCATTGCTGAGGGCCATAGTCAGATTTTACTTCACCATCCTGCTAATGTCTTACGTAAATCAGGATACCTTTCAAATCATCGTGTGCCTGGCAAAAGGGCGTAAGCGCGTTCGTTCTTCCCTGCTTATGACAAAATGTTCACATCACCCATCGTCATGATCATGTTGGAGCTGTTGTGAGTTATGTTCTCAGAATGTGTTTTGCTGTGGCCAACAAGAACACACATACTTATGGAAGTCCTTGGCTAGTAGCTGTAGCCTCTTTCCATTGACCCAAGTAGTGCTCTGAGCTATAGCCTAGACCTTTGGATACACACGTAGTCTTATGGTTGACACATGATGAACATACATTTTTCTGATTGATCTTACCAGCCACCAAATGGAAGGCACCCTCAACAAGTACACAAACGTTGTGAAGGGATGGCAGAACCGGTGGTTCTTACTAGATCCTCAAAAGGGAACTTTGGAATACTACGTGGTAAGTTCTAAGGGTCAAAGATTTTGAAATAAGAAAAAAGCAGCAAATAGGTCAGAAACAAGTAAAGGTTCTAGAGTTTATGGGTCCCTAACTGATCAAAACTACATGCAGGTCAGAATAGTGGCATACTGTTGTACATGTAGGTTTTATTGGTACCAAGTGCTAGTTTTGCCAGAGTTTGGCACATCATTTGGACATGACTTTGGAACTGGTTATCAGTTTTGCCAGTCACATTATTTTGGTATGTTTTTATTATTGGAACTGGGTAACAGTTTTGGCAGTTTGTGGGGCATATTTTTGACATGCTGTTTTTGCTACTTGGTACAAGTCTTGCCAGATGTAAGATTTGGACATGGTTTGTTTGGAACTGGGTATTTGTTTTGCCAGGTACAGGGTTTGGACGTGATTCATCAAAACAGTACCAGTTCAGTCGTTTTTGGACATGTTTTGAACATGGATGCAAGTTTTGCCAGTTTTTGGACATGATTTAGACATGAGTATTTACAACAAGGTCATAGTTTTGGCAACTACTGGATTTGAACATAAATACCGGAAATGAGCACCTATTTTTCCGTATTTTGGACATGTCTTGGGATATGATTCATTGGTATTGAGTGCCAGTTATTTCAGGTTTTTGTACATTTTGGACATCGTGGGGTATATGCTCAATTTTACTTTGCTTTTAAAAATTTGCCTAGAATGAAGAATCCAGGAAGACTCAGAGACCTAGAGGATTGGTGCATCTGACAGTGAGTTTTGATTAGTCTTGATTTCTAAACCTACTTGTCGGGCATTCCATTCTTCCCTTTCCTTCCGTCTCTGATGAATTTCTCTATTCGGATGCCAAAATAAACAAATACTGTGCTTTATTTGCTTGGAGCCTTTTGAAGGGAGCCCTTCAAAGGGAAATCAAGAGCGATTTCAAGGGGAAATCAAGCCCTGTAGTCTTGCAACTTCCTCCCTAAACCTGTTGGTAGCTTATGGAAAGCATTAGAGGGATAAGCACAGGTAAAGATAGTCGCAAAGAAGCTGCACGACATCCATCAACTTGCAGTCTTCCATTTCTTCCATTTTGCTCGGACAAATAAAGCGGCGTGTTGGCAAATACCTGATGTCTGACTGTCATTTCACTTGCTGGAAAGGGTAACCCCTCCCAAATCTCTCCAGTCCTTCTGGTAGATTTTTGAAGGTTCAGGAGGGTGTTTGGTATTCATCAATTCAACTTTCTGTCTGGCCAGGGAGCCGTGATATCACCCAGCGATGAGGACTCCATGACGTTCAATGTCAACGCTGCCAACGGGGAGGTATACCGGCTGCGGGCTACCGACGCGAAGGAGCGACAGTTCTGGGTCAGTCGTCTGAGGGCGGTGGTCCAGCGCCAGGGCGAAGTCATCTCGCAGGTAAGAGCATAGTCAATTGGACCTGATCTTGTGGGATTGCTTGGCAGGAAATCATGTCTCTGCAAATTTGTGTGCTAAGCAAAATTTGGCGGAGTACCAGTCACAAGCACTTTACTTACATGTACATGTACCTAGTCTGGTCCCCAACCCAAAGATTCTGACTGTTTGCTTGGATATTTAGGTCTGGAAGCCATGCTGTTGTTAATGTTTGGAATTAAATATAAAAATCCCCTTTATTCAATGCACACAAATCTGAAAACTGTTAATTTCTCTTATTGTGCTTTTGAATGCTTATTGCCACTTTTGCCTACTTCTTGATAACAGTGACTTTTTTAAAAATTAACGGACATGTGTACCTTGCATTCCACGCATTACATCTATGTCATACATCTTAGATTACATCACAATCAATTTTCATCAGTGATTGCTACCAGACCAATAATTTAAATGTACAAATAAAGGGAAATTTTCAAGTCCGTGAACCAGACTGTATACCTTCCCTGGCTGATGGTCTGTTTATGCTATGCAAATATTTAGCCAGTTTCCAAGCTTAGTTGCTTAGAGCCAACCTCACTTGCCTGCAGTTTGCTTGTGAAATTGCAGTATAAGTGGCTCAGTCTCTCTTTGTCTTGGGTTCCAGGCGCTGGGCGACGGTACATCGCCATCGTCCAGCCACGGCTCCAGCGATTCCCTCCAACACCACCGGCCGGGCCTTCGACGTCACCAAGCTGGAGCAGCCCCCCGCGTCTCCCCCGCCAACTCCCTGACCAGACACCCCCGGCCTCCCTCCTTCAACCCCTCCCTCACCCCGTCGGTGACCCAGGAGTCGCTGCACAATGCCCGGGACATCATCACCATCGCCGAGGAGCAGCAGAAGATGCTGGTTCAAGCACTGGAGGTAAATCCGGCAGTCAGGAATTTTTTCAAGTTGAATTTTTTTCAATGTATGACAAAGCTTGAATATTTCTAACTTTTTTTAATATTTCTAGTGTTTATTTCCATAAGACCTTTTCTTAATTTGGTATGAAAATATGACAGGCATATTATGATTTTAAGAAAATACATGTAAATAGGTAAATCCAAAAAAAGAACGAGAAGTTAAGAGGCAATTATGGAGAGAGACCTCAGAATTTAGGACTACCTAAAGAATGGGACAAGCACGACTTCATTACCCATGGGGTAAAGGTGAATAAATCAGGAAGCGCTCGTCCAACGTTTTGTCACGGAGACTAAATCAAAAGCATTAGCTTTCATATTTTTTGAGACCCTTTCATATCCTTTGTCCTTCAGTTGCAAATATGCAAATTATATGCAAATGTCAGTTTGAAATATGCAAATGATATGCAGATGGTTAATGCGCTGATGAGGTATCCACCCTAAGTTGAAGCGCACCAGCAGTGGAGAAGGAGAGACAGGCTAGTGGGGAGTTTTTCCTGCTGGGCTTGTACATGTGCATGGAGACCATGCATTCCAGAATAAATTGGTTGCGTGTTCAGTGCCAAATGCACATGCACTTGTGTCTGCACGTGGTTCGTTCCAACCAAAGCACTGATTTTTCCATGTACATGTAAAAACATTCCTTCTCTTGTTCCTGTTAGGAGCGGATTGGTTTACCGGTATGTGGCTCACTGGCCCACCATTTTCACAAAGAGCAAAGGTTAAACTTTCTACAACTTTCTCTAACCGTCCACCTCTGTAGGCCCTGCCCTCCTCGGGCCACCCTATCAATGCCCTGGACCACGACTGCCTGCTGCTCAAGTCTACCTCCCACTCGGCCATGGGCTGCCTGGAGGACTGCCTCAACATCCTGCAGAGGCAGGACATCGCTCAGGGCCACCGGCCCAACAGCAGCATGGAGCTGCCTCGATCCATGGCCAACATCAGGTCTGTCGAGTCTCTTTGCAATGTCATGGTCAAGTCCATTGCAAATCCTCTCCTAAAAGTTCTTTCACAGGCCCTTTCACAATCGGTGCTCTTTATCTCATCGATGTTCTTGACTATCTCACAGTTTGTGTCGAAGTATTTTCCCCAGATTAAGATCATCTGACCTAATCAGGCACTCCAAACAATCAAATAATTGCGTTTGGTCGGTGCACATTATAACTCGTTGGCCCTGCTCTCTTCTTTGTACTTGCTGGCAGTCTGGATCTACTCGTAGCCAATCAGCAGCCAGTCGGTAGTGTCATCAACACCAACAGTCCCGCCCACCTGCCAGTCAGTAACAGCATGGGAGACTCCTTGGATCATAGGGTGCCACGTGAGTCCATTACGTAGAGATTTGAAATTGACTCACTGTAGCGATTTCCAAATGTACAAAATGTGTAGGATTGGTCCCATTCCTCAGCTGGTAGAATTGTGTTGGCAGAGGTATAGCGTAATGGCAAAAGCGATGACAAATGCGGCATGGTGACATCAAGTCAAAATATTTCTTTTGAAAATTTGCAAAAGTTGGGCACATTTCAACTGGAGGAACTTTGCCGCAAATGTTTTGTGACGTGAAATTTGCTTCACTTTCACGATTGGCGGAAGGACGTGTATGAACCAAGTGGTAGGCAAAAGGATAAAATTTTCTTGGCTTTCTGTGTGCTCGTAGTCATCAGTCCGACTGACGAGGTGGAAGACAAGGAAGGCGGGGAGGACGAAGACATTGGGGGCGTGGAGGAACACAAGAGCGTCATCCTGCACCTGTTGTCGCAACTCAAGCTGGGCATGGACCTCACCAAGGTCAGTTGTCCTGGCGGTCCACTCTTTTAAGTTTGACCCAAAGCCTCAATCTATGCATGGATCTCACCAAGGTCAGTTGTCCTGGCGGTCCACTCTTTTAAGTTTGACCCAAAGCCTCAATCTAACACGGTGCTAAACCATACCGGGCATGGATCTCACCGAGGTCAGTCATTTCACCCTTTGAGTACGACTCCGACCTTCTCCAATCCGATGTTATCTGAACTTTATCCAAGCGTGGATCTTGCATGATCATGCCTGATTTTCTGTTTAGCAAATTGTGTTTTTTCTCCCATGCGTAGGTGGTATTGCCAACATTCATTCTCGAAAAGAGGTCTCTGCTTGAAATGTTCGCCGACTTCATGGCGCACCCCGATATGTTTGCCAGGTGAGATGGTCTGCCTCTTCCTGACTTTGCTAAATTGATCAACATGCTGCAGAGACCTGTGTGAAAGTACGGAAAGCGAATCGCACAAGTTGATGCTCGAAAAATTCTTTGCACTCCTGAACTGACGTATGCTGTAATTTTTCGACCCACCCGCCAGGGGTGACATTTCTCAGCTTTTTTTGTTTTGGATTTCAGCTTTTTTTTTCCTCACCGGCTGTGTGCAAAAGTGTAGGAGATTTTCACAGTTCAGCTTCTTTATGCCCTTTTTTCAGCTGTTTTCAGCTATTTTTAATCATTCGTCAATCTCACCCCCCGACACATGTTGGCAACTCACTGTTTCAATACGTTTTTACTGGTTGTTTTTCTACCCAGAATTCCAAGTTTACCAACTCCAGAGGCTCGCATGATGGCGGTGGTGGAATACTATCTTTGCTCATTCCACGTGGGCAGAAAGGTAGAAAATGACATTTCTAGCGTAGTGTTGTAACGGTTTTTCGCAACACTGACAGCTTTCTTTCGGTCCTTCGACTTCTTTCTCTTGTCTAGTTTAACCGTGTACTTCATACAGTTAATATCGGAGAGCGTGCTAGCATGCTGGCAAATTGCCTTTTCGCTGCCATGTGACATGTGTACTTGTCAACACGTTTGAGTAATTCCGCTTGTCTTTGTGCACACAGTTGGCTCGAACGAGTCCGTTGAGGTTGAGTGTGTAGAGCCCCCAAGCTGCCGTGGGCCACTGAGTCTCTGAGTTTTGAAAAAGCAATGATGTGGTACGAAATGTCAGTCAAATCTGGAACAGATGACCACCAAATATCGGCATTTGTCATGTCCATCTTTGTGACGGACTGGGGTTGTGGTGTCCTGCCATTTTAAAAAGGCAGCATCTTCAGCTGAAAATGGTACCCTGCTGGGGGGGGGCGTGTGTAATGTGGAATAATGTGTGGTTAAAAAACACCTGTAACTAAAACTTCTTGGAAGGTAACACTCGGCAAATCCTCGCCCGAATGTAGGGTTCCATCGCCAAGAAACCCTACAACCCCATCATCGGGGAGACGTTCCACTGTTCCTGGGAGCTGCCGTCAGACTCTGGCCCGTCTGACGGCCTCACTGAGAACAGCCACGTCACCTTTGTGGCTGAGCAGGTTTCGCACCATCCACCGGGTGAGTTGTACCACGTGATGTGATTTTAATGAGACTTCATAAGTTGTGGTCTGTGGGTTTGCTCTTGCATTTCTCCCGAGTTAGGGGTTTGTGAATAGTACACAAGTGCCTGTGCTTACAGATAGCCATAGCCATGTCCAAAAGTCATGGCTTTGTCTGGCAATAACACACATGTCTACGGAGGCTGGCATGTGGCTGCAGCTTCTTCCCATAGATATGTGTTACTGCCAGCCATAGCCACAGGTGATTTGGACATGGCTATTATTGTTGAGCACTCAACCAAAGCTATCAAAATACATTTTCATTGTGTCAAACGGAAGTGGCTTATGACTGATGTAAATGGCAAGGCAAATTTTGGGAGGGTACAACTGCAGACTAGGGGTCCTTGGTTCAAATCCTGTCAGGTACAAATTGTGCTTGCTCTTCCTTTATCTGTCAAGTTATGTTGTGGCAGGTATTATGGCTTGTAATTGTACTGTGGGTCGTGCATTTTATGATAGAGCGCTTGAACTGCAGTGGACATGTCCCAGGTTCGAATCCTGCAGTAATAAATTTTGCACACCCAATGGGACATGCACTTCTGCACGAGTACAAATGAGATTTACATGTTACATGCACTATCATATTTAAAACTGTTGGATCCTGACAGATTGTGACTTTTTTGAGTCACTGTCAAGTTTTCCATTCCGAACTTTTCCACAGTGTCAGCTTTCTACGTAGAGTGTCCCAGCAAGAAGATCTACATGAATACCTGGATTTGGACCAAGTCCAAATTCCTGGGCATGTCGGTCGGAGTGAACAACGTAGGAGAAGGTATAGTAAAATCAAAAGTCAGTATTTGTTGCGACATTGGTCAATTTGTCCTGCTTTGTTGTGACAAGGATTTGAAGCGAAACCATTTTGCCTTTTTTTTTACGAAAACCAGGCACGATTCGGGACTTGGAGCACAGTGAAGACTACACCATGACGTTCCCCAGCGCGTACGGCCGGTCCATACTCACGGTGCCCTGGATGGAGCTTGGGGGAAGGTGCACAATACATTGCCCGCAGTCTGGGTACCAGGCCGCTATAACCTTCCAGACAAAGGTGAGCGAGACATACCATACCTCAAAGAAGCTGGTTTGATAATCGGACAGAGCGTGCATAAAACATGTTGTAGGTCATTTGGTGGTAATCAGTGTAAGGATGCAAGACCAACTCTGTCAGTGTGGCTTTGCTCATTTGCTGGATTCTTACGTGACAGCACATTTTTGGTTTGAAAATATGAAAAATCTGCCTGTTTTTCCTAAATGGCCTTACCGTATCTTGTTTGGCAGCCATTTTACGGTGGTAAGGTTCACCGTCTGAATGCGGAAGTGAAGAACCCCGCCAACGCCCTTATATGCAGGGTGCAGGGCGAATGGAATGGGCAACTGGAATTCTCATATGCAGGGGTGAGTAACTTGAATGACATTGTAGTTTTGTTCATGAATATGGAACTACATATAACCAAAACGGCAGCTTAATACTTTTATAATTGTGAAACAATCGAAAATTCAACTCAGACACAGTGGTGAACTCTGAAGATTTTGTATCTTTAAAAATATTCTTTGCCGCTGCCCTTTGACAACCTCTCTGAAACTGGTTATTTTTGCATTTTCTCACAGCTGTGGTGTTTTGGCCAATTAACCCATTTCAGCGAGATCTTTAAAGGGTAGCTGCGAAGAACTGTTTTTAATACAAAACTTCTAGAAGCATTTAGAATGCACTGAGAGCGGGGCAAACCTAGCCAAGGGCTGCAATCCTCGGATTGCAGCCCTTGGCTAGGTTTGCAATCTTGTGACAGTCAGAGATAAAAATATCAGAAATCGGAGAAAGTTGTCTGAGCATTTCAAAGTCGCCAAATTGACTCCCGGTCACGTTTCACTTGAATGCCTCTTGTATGGAGCCAATCTGTCTATCTTGGATTCTGCAAAACACTGGTATACTGCATCAATGAATTGTGGTTTAATTTTTCTGTTCTAATAGGGTGAGAAGAAAGTGGTAGATTTGACCAAACTGAGCGGCATACCCAAGCGGATTCGGCCCATAGCCATGCAGGGCACCTTTGAGTCCCGTCGACTCTGGCAGAACGTGACCAACGCGCTGAAGATAGGCGACATCAACACCGCCACGGAGCACAAGCGATACGTGAGTTCTCTGCTTAAGTCTGCTGGTTCGATCTCTCCAGCGGTCAGATGTTCACTGAAATATTTCACTTGCTGCTGCAAAATGTCTTCAAAAAGTAATAAGAAAAATGATTTGTTTTACCTTTTTGATGACTTTTAAAGTGATTATGTCTCTTACTCAAATTAAGAGATCTTCATTAATCTTTTGATGCAGCAGAAATGTCTTGGAATTTGCTTCCATTTTCTGTGGAAAAATTAGGCCCTTGGAAATGTCTCATTTGGCTAATTCACAGGGTTTGAAATTTAGCAATCCATAAAAAAATGAGGTATCATAAATTTTAAATATCAATAGGAAATAAAGTGCCCAAAATTCTTCTACGCCTGGTGGAACTTATTTTCAAACCACTGTACCTACATTTAAACCGTAAACTGAGGTCCAGTGGTTCAGTGGGTATTTCAGAGTCAATCTTCGTTTACTACACCCCGTCCCCTTTCCAAATTTGCATCTGCCATACGAGTCAGGCTTTGCATAGCGTCATATTTTGTTTGTTAAGTTGGTTACTTCTTTCAAAGGCATGTCTGTGATGTAACCCTCTTTATCAAATTATTAGTTATTATATGACGTTGATATCAAAGTCGTGTGATGTCTGAAGACGCTACTTGAAAAAACAAAGGGGTGACCACAACTGTATTGCAAGTTGGGAGAGCTGCCCCGCTGTCCTTGCTTTTCCCCCTCGTGTAGGAATTGTGTTGTGGTTTCAATAGTGGCCTTTCTTCCCCTCTCATCAACAGCTTGAAGAGAGGCAGCGCAGGGAGGAGCGGGAACGGAAGGAGACCAACACGCCTTGGCGGACCAAGCTCTTCAAGAAGAGCGGTGAGGGCTGGTGCTATAACGGGATCCTGCAAGCGTAGCGAGGGGCCAACTCTCCCAACTGTCCAAAGTAGGGCCACTTTCGTCTGTGTCTGTCTTGTCTCCAAAGCTGCTTTCCCATTGGACTTTTCGTCCGTCCGGCAGGCCAATCCGTTTAAGTTGTTCAGTCGTCCTGAGCGTTACCAGCTTAAAGCAACTTTACGAGAACTTTACTTTACGAGAACTACCAATAAACTCAGGTTCTTGTCCGTTTTTGTAGGACTTGGATGAACGTGCATCAGCATTGGTACTTTTTCCTTTTGGTAATAATACTGAAGCCCGGCAGAGCTTACAGGTGTGATGATGTCATGCTGAGTACGTTGCATTGCATTGTGGGTACCTTGTGTGGGCATTGGGAATGACTGCGTGGTGGACTACTTTGTCCTGTTTTTTCGTCACCTAGCCGTGTGGTATTCGATTCCGTCACAAGTCCTTTCAAAAGAAGCTCCGTAAGTCCAGTCGCAAGTCCCTTCACCTGGCCAATCACAAGTCCCTTCACAAGGTCAGTCACAAGTCCCTTCACAAAGTCAGTCACAAGTCCCTTCACAAGGTCAGTCACAAGTCCCTTCACCAGGCCAGTCACAAGTCGTTTCACAAGTCCAGTCACAGGTCCCTTCACAAGGCCAGTAACAAGTCCAGTCACAGGTCCCTTCACAAGGCCTGTATCAAGTCCAGTCACAGGTCCCTTCCCAAGTCCTTTCACAAGTCCCCTCACCAGGCCAGTCATAAGTAACGGGGTGAAAAAAAAAAAATGATTTTGTCGCTGCTCATTTGAATAATTGTGCATTGGCAAAAAACTGAATGACTAGTGATGGACTTGTGATGGACTCACGGGGATTTTGCAGGGACTTGTGATGGACTTGAATACAACACTGTCGCCAAGAAAAATTAGGGTAGACACCCTCTTTGGTAAAATTATTGAGTGTCATGTCATGCCTTTTTTTATCTCTTGCATGTTTCCTCTCACACCAAAGAACGGTGCAAAGGGCATCCATGGCCGAGTGCATTTTGAATCATTTCGACCAAAGTTGAGAAACCAAACCAAAGAAAAGAGAAGTGTTTTAATTGGAAAAAAAAATTCACAATTACAACTGCTGTGCTGTCTGCCCATCTGGCCAGTGAATCGAGCGGAGAAATTCGAAGCGAGTGTTTAATAATTTCCCATCAGGGCGTGGATAATTTTTATGAAGGTGTTGATGACGGAACAGGTCAAGCATGGAAAGTCTGGTTTAAAGGCACGGTCCAGCGGTCAGCAGTGTTGCGCTGAATTGAATTAATATGCCACCCACATGTTCCTTGCACAAAGAAGAATACTTTGGTTCACTGTGTATGAGCATCTACATACCTCAGTTAATTAAGCGCCACCCACTGCTGGTTTGTGGTAATTTCACGGGCATTTGGTTGCATCTTAAACGCATACCAGTGACAACCGCGCGAATGCCTTACAGCATTATGTGAACTCTGTACATTGACACCCAGTTTGCCTGTGAAATCGCAGAGATACTCGAATACGTTTAATTAATGGGAGCTTGCAGCAAGTCTGGAGGAAAGCAGGTTTTCAGATTTCAGTTTTAGCGTGTCAAGGATATTCCAGGAACTTTTTCTGAGAAAGGAATTTTCTTGGATACGCTTTGGAGAAAATTGAAAATTAGAGCAAATGTTATCAATGTTGGGGGGTGCTGAAAAAGAAATTGAAAAATTGAAAAAGGAAGTGGATGAAAGAGTTTCAAAATGACTGATTTTCTTTGAAAAACAAACCTTGAAATGGACCCTCTTCCATTGTTTGTGGTTTTTCAATTTGTTGCTGATGAGGGCTCCCCTCACCCCTGGAAAGTATCCTCGCAACACCCATGCAAAATTGTTTGAAAAGAATTGATGACAGTTACATTGGTGAAAGCTTTAGTACTGAGACTTGATGCAAGGCCTTTTTATGTTCAGTGTCATATTTGGCAAAGGTTGCTGTGATCACAAATGGAAGTCTGCGTAGTATCCAAGCCTAAGCAAAGCGGCTCTCCTTTTCGTGTGCTCGGGGACGGGCGACTTGAAACAAAACAAGCAACAACTCCATTTTCATAAGCAGTCGACTGGGCTCAGTGGAAACTTACCAACACGTCCGAAACAAAAGTTGGTCAGCCTAGAGTGTTATGCTGTTCAGGTTCTTGGTAAAATGCTTGCAAAACCAGGAAATATAATTAAAAATCCAGATTTGAAGGTCTGCATTTTTGACGTAGTAATAATGAGTATAACCACGTAAGTCTTGTTTGTGAGTGGAGTTCCAAAAGGAACTAGTGAACTCAATATTTCGGCCAGTTTGTTCTACTCTTCATTTGGAGAACAGAAACAAATTCTTGTTTTGGGATATAGCACCAAAAACAACTGTCTGTTTTGTGTCCAATTTATGGGAATTTCCTAAGGCAGTCACTGTGTATATCAGCATTTTAACCAACACTGGAAAGATGAAACGTTTTCTCAGTTGTTTACTCAAACGGGTAATGAATTTTGTGTATATTCAGCAGTGATGCCTGTTGTGATGTGTCCACAGAGGGCTGTGTTTGAATTTGAATTCGTCAGACTAAAAAGACACTGTTGCTATACTTCGTGATTCGGGGCAAGCTTTTGCATAGTGACCACCATCTGTGGAATGGACTGGTTCCTTTGTGCCCTTCTTATCCATTGAAAACTGCAAGGCATCTCTTATGTAACTATAAACCAAAAAATTGCACCAGATCACGAGGTGTAGCAACTGTATCTTCAGTATGGAGAATTCAAATTGTAATGTTGACGTGAATTTAAAGAACTCAGTGTAGCAGATTTTATTCAAATTTATACAAAAGGCTTGTGAAATCTGTGACCTTCAATTGCCTGATAAGTTATTACGTGTCATTCTGTGGCTTTTCACAAAGTTGGCTGCTGGACGTTAAACATCATCCGTTCGGCCAATAGCTTCACTCGGCGTTCAGTTGGAACCAAGAGAAAAATTCAAATGTAACATTTTTAATGTTAGTCATATGCAATTTCTGTGTCGTGCGTTGTTACTCGAGGTGACGTGCATGAACATTTTAACATCTTTCCCATGTGAATTTGTGATTGTGTTAAAACATATGCCTGTATGCTGTTTTATTTTTAGTCTGTTTGTTAAGTGATTCTTAGAACCCCCAGTGTTGGGAATTTCTCAATCTTCATTGTCAGCAATACCTTGTGCCCCTTATATTAATACATTTGCTCTGGTTGTGAAAAAAATTGCAATAGCGACATGTGCCAGATGTGTCGTACGGAAACAGTAAACTACGAGGGGAGAAAAGTGTCAGAAAAAAGTATTTTCGTTTTAGAAAACTCTTGATGTGATTGCTTTAGGATTGTGAATCATTTCTTTGCCTCCTTGAACAAATCACTTAATAAGATATTCATTTAGTCATTGTTATGTAAGGTATTTATATGTCAGTTACAGACAAAGTAATATATGTATATATGTAAATGAGCAGTGAAAATATAATGAATATTTTTGATCCGGTGCTTAGTGATTGGACGGTGATTGTTGGACAGTGAGATGTATTAAGACTGTCAAGCTAAGTAGTGTCATGCTATATTTCAGAGGTGGTCGGAAAAAAATTTATTCCAAAGAAAAGGGGTAACAGGTCTTCTTAATTGGGGTTTATTTGGTCTAAATATATGGGTCAGGGGATGTCAAAACAGGGACCAGCTTAACTTTTTTTTTTTAAAAGACGGTGCAAAATCTTTTGAAGATCATGCGATTGGAGTATGTGGAGATATTCTTCCGTGAAGGTATTTTTTAATGGTTCAGAATGTTTTGCAAGTGAATTCTTGTTATTGCTGATGTGCGTCATTCACCGAGAAAGATGTGTGTTTGGGTCAGTGTGTTGATTCGAGGAGGGGGAGTGGCAATGGCAATAGATGGGGGGTGGAAGGTAAGGGCTGTTGGCCTCGGCTAACTAAAGGCTAAGATTATCACAAGGCACCGGGATAGTCTTGAACTTAAATGTATCAGTAACTAGATTATTTTTTTTCTGAGATTTATGGACGCAAGTGGTGTTCAGTGTTGTGCATTCAGAACTTCTTAGTGGCATTGGTATGCAACTTACTGCTTCTTAACTCCTCAAATCTTATTCCAGCAGACACCCCATCTTCCAATGATGACACAGTATCCATTCCACCTGCCCCTGAAATCGATCGGAGAAAGAAAAGACAAATTGCTTTAGCAAAGTTTCCTGAACAGGTTGAGCAGAAACCATTTTGTAACTAAGAGCAATCCTGTTTAAGTTTAAAAGACAGTTGCCATGTAAAGTTTATTGGTTGAGCACAACCATACGAACGGTATTTTCTCCCGAAAGTAGGTGTGCAAAATTGGGCCCAGATTATGAAGGAAGTTGTAGACATTTCAGGGAAGGTTTGTTGGTTTTCATGGCACGACAGTTTCATCATGTTATCGTAAAAATCAAAATATCTGTGTGCTTTCTTTTTTCATAAGCTCGCTGTCTTTTGATATGTATACATCTTCTAACAAAGTACATGTAGATTCAATTTGCCTACTTAGAGGGAAAAAATGAAAAAAATGTATCGGATAAAAAACAGGAAAAGAAAGTTTAAAACTAAAGAATTTTTTGTACGACTGTTAAGAAATTTAGAAGAGTTTAAGCACACGTGCGGTTCGTGGTGTTATAGGGGTTGGGTTGGTCCCCCTATTCTCCCGAATTATGCAGCTTTTCCATAATGGCTTTAAAAACAATTTTAATTCCATTTTTCCTCAAAAATGTCTTAAAGTTCCTACATGCAGTTCTCAAAATGCCTTAGGAAAAAGAGGCTCACACAAATAAAAAATGTTAAGAAATATTGCCCTTCAAAAGCTGCTTTACTTCTTTAACATTTTGGCCCCAAACTATTCCTGGTCGATGCGAGAATTTAAAAACCTTCTTAGCACAAGGTCGAAACCTTCTTTTCGTGGAGACACCAGTTGAAATAAGAAAAAACGTTTCGTAATTTTGTAACTTTTTAAAAGTGTTAAAAGTCCAGTTATTTTACAATTGAATAAAGACAGGAAAAAAAGGTTCAACCTCCAACCAGCATTTCCACAAAGTTGTTATAATTAGTTGACTTGCCCGAGAGAAATACAATTGTACGTGTATTTTGCCTGTTTACGTCGTATGCGTTTTCCGCCAAGGTAAACCACGCATGAAATGAATCTGGTACGACACACGTTACACACCCCATTGAAACGAATAAATCCTTGGTCATTGTTTTAAAACCTCCCCTTTTAAATCAATTATTTGCAGTATTATATCTGCTTTTATCTGTAGTACAGATTAATTGCATTTGAGTACATAATTTCCAGAATAACGCCTTGATATTGTGCTGTGGATTTGTCCAATAACTTGCCAAACCAGACTGCTAATATTGAGACCGAGTCATGATTACGACGCCAAAATTATGACCCCAGACGACTGAATATCTACTGGCAACCATTACCCCATCTAACTACACAATTCTGTAGAAAACGCTGACTTGACTTTTGATAGACTTAAATATGAAAGAAATATTGACTCAGTTTCCTGTCGACCCCAGAGACCGCAAAACCATCCAAAAAACAAAAAAAAAACCACAGAAAAAAAAATTGACTTATTTTAGTTAACTACATTCAGTAACTAATCACACGCCTGTATCGTGTTTTTCACGCTTAATCAAGTTGAGCTGAACGATGCTCAAGCTGCCGGCTTCTGCACTGTTTTGATCCAAATTTGTCAACTTGACTAGATTTTAATAAGTCACAGAAGTAGGCCTACCCACGTACATCTGCAAAANCGTACATCTGAAAAAAAAAAAAAAAAAAAAAAAAAAAAAACCCAAGTAGGCCTACTTCGGTTTTGTCAACTAAAGTGACCAGAGTTTAAGCATATTGTGAATAATACCAGGCAGCTGTCGGCGTGGGATGTGGATTACTCGAGCTGACGCGCGGCCTTCTTGATAGTGCAACTTGTACACGTGTAAGCGGATTATACGTTCATTGCTTATGGCGGGAGCTTTAGAGGATCGACAATTTCAAACTGATCAAAAATGGTTGAGAAATTTCTGTGACACCCCACGGGCAAGTATATGTGCAGTGCTCTTTTACCCCACGAGCAAGTATATGTGCAGAGCTCTTTTAACTGACCTAGTGTCCAAATAGGCCTAAGGTTACCTGAGGAATCCTCTAAGTATTCTTAATGTCTCTGCGAGTCTGCTCTGCTCCTTTATTTTGGACTTGTGATCTTGTACTGCAGCCTACTTCATCGCATACCAATAATTTCAATGTCTTTGGCTTTTTCTAAGCACAGAAAAGGGAATAGGGCCTTCTAGTTCTACTCCGATCTCAGTAAGTTGGGTGATCCCTTTGTCTTGAGATTGGAAGAGGTGGACATCATCACCCCGGATGCCTGCTCCTGCCCATGTCCAACCCCCGTATGAGCAAGGGACACTTGTCGCATAGGGGGCATTACGTTTGCTCGGGTAGATTTCAAGATTTCAAAAAAGGATGGGGGCACATCTACTGGATATGCGATTTTCTTCTTTCTATTCCTCCACGCTTGTTTGTAGTTACACCACTGTTAGGCCCATCTTCTCAGTTCGAGATTCCGTCATCTGGTCATTCCAACCATGGAGGTCGCCGGATCAGCTGTGTTGACCACATTGTCTGACGGTCAAGTTCGTGTTTTAGCTATTTGTCACAACACCGATCGTTGTTTAGCAACTGGATAACGACACCGTCTCCCCAGACCTTTTCATCCCTTGGGAAGTTCGAACTCTGCAGAAGGCAGTGTAATCCAGAAGTAAAGTGGGAACTCCAAGCTTCCAGGGGAAGTACACGTCCGTGTAGGGTGTACCACGAGAGGACTGCGTCCGAGTTCCGTCTGCCATGTACCAGTAATCGTTTGGAGTTCAACTTGACTACCAGTCGTTCTCTTAGTATATTTCAAACCGAGGGCTGAGTTTGTACTTTGTAATGGATATTTCTCGAGGAAACTAACATCACTTTATTTGATATTGTAATTTTACTCACAAGTATGCGGGACCTCTTGAATAAACTCACTTTTTATGAAGGACTTGTCTGGTTGCTAAAAACAAATAAGTACGCGACTTGAAGGGCTAGTTTATGCAACGTTTCAGCTATTTTCGTCCCTGTCGAACTTTCTTGAAACCCGTCATCTCCGCCATTTTCTCGACCGAGTCAGTGCTTGTCCCACTTCCTGATTTCTGCATTGGGGCGAAAAGTGAGCCTGTCTCTTCAGAAGCAGCCCTTCCCTGTGAGGGTACTGTTGAGTTGTCACCGGGACTGAGCTCATTGGAAGACGGACCAACTCTTTTGCTGTATGCTGGGGGAGCTGTAAGGCGAGATTGACAGAGGAAAAGTGGAGTTTCAAGGTAGCAAACGAGACCGGGTCCACGGGAAATATGGCCTGCCATCTTGATCCGACGTAAGTTGCTGGGCCCATTCCAGTACAGTAGATGCCTAGGCCAGCCTACGTATATACATCATGTACTGTACATGCTGTGCATGTTCTGTATGCGATGATGTACAAGTTGTTGACGTGGTCATGGTGGTGTGATGTGTGTGAAGCCTTGCTTCAGAACTTCAGACTATGTTTGGATTCGTGTGGCTCGGGGAAATTCAGTTTGATGTCATAGCCGGCCTTTAAACTTCTCCATTCATGCGACCATTTCAGTATACTGGTAAAAACTAGGCCGAGTGAAATAATACAGGGGTGCTCGGTTTGGACTTAATCGCTCGTGGCCCTGCATTCCTATCCTAGTTAGGCCTAGGCCTACTCCCTCCTCCGTTATTTGGTCATACTTGTCACAAATCTCCTTTTTACTATTTTAGTGACCATTGGCATAGAATGCCATGGTTCATGCCATTTTCAAGCCTAAGCTGGGGGTACCAAGACAGTAATATTATGACCATGGTCTGAAATGTAAATCATCAGTGACATTTTTAATCGTTTGGTTGTTGCAATGAAAAAGAGTGATGTCACTTCTGCTGTAATGTTTGTCATTTGTGAAGTTAGTCCATTTTTGTTTTCCAAAATAGATTTTGGTTGGACTGGAAATAATTGAAGATAATCTCTGTTCATGTTAAACTTTATTCTCACTTAAGGCCTGGGACTAGGCTTACTCATTTAACTTATGAAGTTTTGTAATTTGAGTTACAAAGACTAGGCGGACCTTGCCACCTCCTGCCCTCCGTACAGTGTACAAAACTTCAGCTTTGTTGCTATTGGCCTCTGTAACAATTTGGAGTATTGTGCAGACCTATTAAAAAATGAGCTAAATTCCAAATCACGTGAGACTCGTGTATTTGCCAATGAGGTACTGTAGATGTATACTCATTGAACACATAATTTTTGTATCATATATTGGTTCCAAGAAGTTTTACCTACAAATAAAAATGTGGTCCATCGTCTCCACTCTTCCTAGATTTCAGAGACAGAGCATAGTTGCATGTACTAAAACTGAGAGATGTTGCTACCGTCATGACTGTTGGATTGGTCGCTTTTTAAGAATGTTTATCTCACAACATCCCATCCAACTAGCCTACGCATGCATTACCTTCAACTCCCGAAAAAATTTTGCTTGAATTAAAAATCTCCCTTTACTCCGTCAACTTTGCTGCGGTGATGAGACACCACACAATTTTGAGGAATGCCAAGGTGATCATATAATGAGCATATGTGCAGCTTTCAGTTTGTTTCGTTTGTCGATACGGTTTCAGATAGCACCAACGGGTGTCAGCTTAGAACTTTTTTCCTGGGAGAGGACACGCAGATTTAACCTTTGCTGGGAAGGGTCAAGTAGGTATTTCAGTCTTAGCTGAAATCTTCTGTCTTGGGGATAGTCAATGGAACTAATCACTTGATCGCACTGTGCTTTTTGATTCATCATGAATCCTGTCAGTTCTTGTGCTGTCCGTCACCAAATGTTGGACGAAATGGAAAAGGACACATACATGCACATGCAAAGTCAAAGATTTCATCCGGCATTGATAACTGACAGCACGCGTCTACCAATCGTGTCCAACAGTCAGACTGCAAAAGAGCAATGCTTACAATGATTTGAATCGGCTCTTTTGACTTTCGCAGTTGGTACTTCGGACGTCTGAGCCGAAGTGAAGCCGACAGCTTCCTCCACAACACAAAAGCTGGCACGTACCTTGTCCGAGACAGCGGCACCAGCATCGGGGATTACGTGCTCTGTGTCAGGTAGGACAAATTGACAGACCCCCCTGTGTGTCTCCCTTCCCCCTTCCCCCCAAAAAACTTCAGCGCAGAGGTGGATTCTGTGATCCTTTGAGAAGCTGCTAGTGACGTACGTTTTTCCTGGACCCAAACCATGGCAGTAGAGGAATGGAGACTGCAGTAGTTATAGGGGGGTCTTTAATTAACCCTCCTATGCTGAAGTCACTCTTTGGGTCATTTGGTAAACACCTCAAAGAAGGACAGCTGTGTTGTGTTGTGCACTGCACTAACAGTCCCTCACAGGAATATCAGATTGCACTTTTGTGCTGCCCAAGAACTGTACTTCACTGTTTCATGTGTATCATTGTGCAG